GAGGCGGGCACCACTTCTAAGGTTCTAAGATAGTCAAGGGAGGTCCCTAAGGCTAGATCCTAAACCCTAAGAGGAAGACTAGACCTCACTAAAAATGAGGTCAACAGATACATATCATGTCGACATAGAGGGGTGCAAAACATGTCCATTATTGTCTAAGGTGGAATGGTACCTCTCTCATCCACACACTGGTTCGTTATCTAAAATTTACGATTGTCTAAGATGGCAGAAAAACATATACACGCACGCACCACTGGCAACCCAGTCATTACCATAAAAGATGAACTCTATCATAGTCAACATCCACATATAAGTACTATATATAACACACATCATTCAATTCGATATAATTTATATACCTATAAATAATGTGTAGCAGTAAGCATTGTTAAAAATGTATAATTATCACAACGTTATGAAAAATAAATAAAAGAGTATATAAATCAAAATAACAATGGGCAATTGAATTTAATAGGTATCATTAACTATTAATGAATTAGATTTAGAAAAAACTAAAAGCTACTGTAGAATAAAAGTAAAAGCTCTCATATTTAGCTCTGATGACTCCCTTGCCTAGAAGTTTTATCAGCATTTTTTTGGTAGATAAGCTATAAACAAATATGTAAAGTATTCTTGTCAATTTATAATAAATTAAGCTTACTATTTACAAGTAATTTACCTTTATTTTACATTAATAAAACATCATTTTATCTTAAATAATTTCATCGATTTCTACAAAAAAACGTAATTCTTTAATTATTGTTACTTTAAAATTAAAAAATTTTAACATAATTTAATCATTATTAATCATATTAATATTTAGAATTTTTATCAATCAAATTTATAAATTTAGCAATTTATATATAATATGAAGATTTACATTTAATAGAAATTAATCCTCATTATGCATTTATTTATTTTTATGAATTATCAATAGCGTTTTCTATTTGGGGCAGCTGTAACTTATCCAGCTTATCCTGATAAGTTGTTTATCTTGATAATCTAATGATAAGTAGCTGATCCAGATAAGTTGTCTATCTGTTTGGTTTGTGCGTTTAGAGAATAGCTGATTCTGAAAATATGATCAATCTGCCCCTATTTTGGATAAGCTGCGCTGCAGTTGTTTGGTTTGTGCGTTTTGTAAACAGCTTATTTGCATATTTTTTTACAAATTTACCAAATTTCTTAATCCAATCAGAAAATGAATATAAATGTGAAGATTGTAGAACATGAAAATACATAGAATTTTGGAGCAATTTCTCTAATGTGTAGGTTAATTTGGGGACCAACAATGAGCAACAATTACATAGAAATTTGGAGTCCATTTTCAAAACCAAGTTATGCCGATGTAAACAAAAAGAAACCTTGAGTGTAGTCAAGACAGACACAGTTTCAAAACTAATGGAGAGACGGGTTGGGTAGGAGCAGCAAACAACAACCATTTAATGTTTCCGGACATATCAATTTCCTAAATATGAAAACTACTGGCAATATGCTTAGAAGCGGAGATGCCTATTTTGCTTTCCAATATCAACTTGTCTTTGCAGATTCCAACGAAAAATTTAAGAATTTATAATTATTTTAGACAAGTTGTTCTTCCGTAGAACAATTTTAAAGAAAAATAGTTATCCCCCACCGTAAATGAATGAGCCTTAAAACTAATATGTTTTAAAAACATATATTTTACAGCTTACTGAAACTATAAGCACAAAAGTATTTCCTTCTCTTGGTGCTTCTGATGATAAAAATGAGCCCTAAAACTATAAATCTCCAGGTGTTTAATGTTTATCTTAGAAAGCCAAGCTGAGAATCTTCCCTAAAGATAGCCAGACCACAAAAAATTATTGTTGAAATAAGAACTAACAGATTCGCCCAAATCCTTCCACAGCAAAGAACGAAAAAAAAATCTTGGGAGCGCCTTTTTCACGGGAAGCTACAAACCGAGGAGCAGCAGAGGAGCGAGGAGTAAAAAGGTTACCGGTGAGAACGATTGCCGAAGATGGAGGGAGACGCGGATCAAGCGAAGAGACGGACTACTGCGACGGCGTGCGAGATCGAACGAGCTGACTGCTGCGACGGCGTGCGGGATTGAGGAGCGCTCATTGCGAAAGACGGGGGGCAAAGGAGCGCTCGTTGCGAAAGACGAAGGGTAATACTCGTCTTTCGACAGTATTAAACGTGATCGCGGGGTCTACCCGCGATCCGCGTCTAATACAAATATCATAAGGGTGTTTTGTAAAAAGTGATAGAAATGTGATTTCCAAACGAGTGATAGCGTTTTGAAAACGCCACTGTTGCAAATAAGCTCTCCCAAACGCACCCTTAAAGTATTCAAAGTAATATCAATCATAAATTATACATTTAACTATTCTTTAACCATATAATATTTTTATTATTATTAATACGTTTAAAGTATTCAAAGTAATATAAAGTAATAGAAATTTAGGTTTTACATAGTTTCATTTCAGTTTAGACAAATAAAAAAATAGAAGTACCTTAGCTCCTCAAGATTGACTTGGCTTGTGATCAAAACAAGTTTCATACACTTAATTTGCCTTCTTCATTCACACACAAACGCACCAAAATTGTCTCGGCAACATGGATTCTCCTGAACAGGAGGCTCCCTTATATGGCATTCACCCTTCTCAAACCAGCTTTTGCCGCTGAAAAGTTGCTTCCTCCTTCCCGCGCCTCAGCTCGCCAACCTGGGAATTTGAACACAAGTTTGATGTTATCCTAGCTTGCTCGACAATGTCACCTCCTACATTCCTCGTCTCCACTGACTTCATATGCATCGATCTGTCGTAGCTATACTTGGATTCGTGGCCAATCGACGTCGCACTCATCTTTACTTGAACGCTGCTTCAACCCGTCGGCATGAACACCCTAGCATGTTCAATTTGAGCCTTAAGTTTATACCGCTTGCACTTGCTCTTCCAAACTCCTTTCATCTTTGTTTAAAGGTTATCAGAGACCTCTCCTGTCTAATACGACCCCTAGAAGTTGTAACATTAGTAACATTAGTGTTACAACGTTGCAAAGACCGAGTATTACAATCTTCCCCACTTACAAAAAATTCGTCCTCAAAATTTTTCATATCATATCTTTATTTATGATTATATGATTTATTACAAATCTATTAAATTTCATATTATAGATTTCCATTAATTATCCTATTGGTTCATTCATTAAGCTTCATATTAGTAAAACTAAACATTTGATTTGTACCCCTTATAACAACTCAAACACTCATCCATCGAGATATTTTGTTTTGGCCTCATGGTTTCATAATTTTCTCCCATTAGTGCAATTTCAGGTCACCCATCCTAAGAGTGCACACATGCAAGCACGCTTAACTTTGGAGTTTTTCCAACAGTTACACCAAAATACTAAAAGTTCAGCTTCAATCTACTTAAGGGGTTTCACAGTTTGGCCCCTTGAAGCTATTAAGAAGTATAGTGGTTTGCTTTTTAAAATTTATAAATTAGTAGCCTACTATCTAATACAGTGAGATTTCTATTAGTTGGACTCAATTTCACTAATCGTCAATATTAGTTATTTTTAAATCATAACATATAGGAGGATTTGTGATGATAAATAAGAAGATTTATGCAAGTAAATATATTTTACTTGTTTACAACTTTGAATAAGTCAATTTCTGGATGTTGATCTTTCTAGTGTTCTCCTGATCGAATTGGATATTAAAGATTTTCAGAAAAAAATTTCTTAGTGCTGATTAGAAATTTGATTATTCTATTTAGTAATCTCCAGAGTTCTTTTTCACATTATCTAGTTTCTAGTAATTGGTCTAACTATGTGATTGAATTTTATAAAATTTGATACAATATGATTTTTCACTACCAAATGATTTTCATTCAAACGGATAGCTTTCTACATATTCAAATTTCTATGAGACCTTTCTAATAGATGAATATTAAATTGTCATCTAAATGGATTTTATTTATTTTCAATTTCTATTCAAAAAAATGAATGGCTTTCTAAATTAAGGGCTTGTAAATTGCAAAATGGAATATGTGTGTGGTTTTCAGCATTTCATCATGCAACTAAATTAGAGGATCCTAGATCCTGTGATCTGATGTATCAAGAGCAATTTAACCATATTAATCTAATTCCATGAATTGAGAAAAAAAATAGCTTTCTTTAAGCAAATACCTACAAAGACTGGGGGTGCTTCCTCTGCTTCATCCTCTTTCCAGAACTTCACCTTCCGGAAGAATATCTCTGCACTACCTTTTGGAACTACACCTCGATCTGCAACCATGAAGCCAATTAAAGATAATATAACAGGAATTCAAAGTAAAATGGTTCAGGAGTTTACATCTAAGCTAATAGTTATTTTTACAAAAGTATACTCCAAACAACATGATAAACATAAGGGGAATTTACATGCATGCCACCCAATTCTTATCTATTTACATATCTAACACTAATAGTTTTTTTTACAAAAGTATACTCCAAACAACATGATAAACATAAGGGGAATTTACATGCATGCCACCCAATTCTTATCTATTTACATATCTAACACCTAAACTTTATTTTTACATTTTTTACGACCCAAATCTTCCATATCACATCATGTTTGAACTGAAATTAAACACAGCCTAAACCATTCTGATGAATTTATATCTTATTTGCAAGATATCTGCTTACGCAGAGTCGTAGCCTTAGTATTTCAATGAATTTTCTTCCCTTCTTCTTTTTTCTGTTGTAATTGTCATATTAATTAAGTGTGTTTCACATTGGAAGTTAAGATTTTTATGCTCTCAGAGTAATGGGAAATTGAAGCTCTCCTTAAAACTGATTACGAAGGGAAGTAAACTAAATGGAAGGCTTCATATGAATTAGAGAGAGACATCAAGAAATTAACATCATCAAATATAATTTAGCATATCCTGATATGGTAAAATATAATTTTAGCATATCTTAGACATTCACAAATTAAAAAACGATAGAGTAAATCATTCCCAATGTTCTTCCAACAAATTTCCTAGAAACAAAAACTCGTGCGAGGACCTAATTTTTGGTCCAATGTCTTGATAGAAATTGATAGTTGTATTCATTTGCACATCGCAATATTGAGATCAAAGAGGATACACCGAGAGTCCATAGGTACAGTTGGATCATAACCCAAACTTCTTATAAAAGAGATTAAGGACCTATAAGCAAGACCTTTGGATTAAAATTCATTTTACAACATGATAAAAATGAATTAAAAAATTATTTAAAAACTTACATTTGAATTTTAAAATTTAAGATTCAAATGAAAGCTTCTAAAATTATCCTTTAATTTGAACATATCTAGTCAATTATTTGTATAAAGGATCATCTTTTGTATCACTCTATGAAGTTTATTTAGGTATAAATTAGATTTATCTTTTGCTGAAATTGTTTATCCAACAACATCCAAAGAAAACATTTCTTCCAAAAAGAAATTTTGAACAAGTGCTGGCAAAAAATAAAAAAAGTTATCATTATTGGAAGAGCTTAAAGAGCTAAACTCTCGCCAATTTCAAGAAAATGAAAAGAAAATTTCAAATATAGAACTTTGGCTGACAAAAAAATTCAAGACATTACTATAGGACTAAATCAAAACAAGTAGGCATAAGTTTGGACAACTGAAGTGCGTTACTAAAGCTGAAATACTATCAAGAAAACTATCAATATTCAATTTTTTTCAAAAATTCTAAGATCTCTTAACAACCTCCTGAAAAAGATTACCAAGAAAAGTAAAATGGTACACCAAAAAAAAATGAGCAAATAGCTTTACCACACCTAGAGATATAAAATTCAAAGGAGTTAGTTCCCGTTAAACAAGAGTATCATGATTCGGGAATCTTTTCATGAAAAAGGATAGTCAATATAACCTTGACTACAAAGGGATTAAATTACAAAGGGTACATCGTGATTTTGAAATCAAATTACAAAGGGATTAAAAGATCATATTCATTGAAGTTTCAACAGCTGATTTCTTAGAGATTATCAATGATGCTTATTTTTATATCACATCATTGAGATCGAAAAGGAAGCTACCAGGAGTCCATAGAGGAAAATCATAGCCCACAAAATTAGACAATTGATTAGAATTCAGATCATTATAGGATAAGGATAAATTTGAAGACCTATTTGGATAAGCATACTTTTGAATTTTAAATTCTGAATTAGGATAAAATATGTTGGAATTTTCTATTAGTTAGAACTTAATTTAGTTTTGTTATTTGTAGATAGGGTCCTCTAGTGAAGTTTATTTAGGTGAGGATTATAGTTTATCATTGTAGTAAATGCCTGAATTCTCCAAAAAATGAAATCTACAAACTCTCCCTAATCTCTTCCTCAACTCTTTTCCTATAGTATTTTTTGTTAGACCATGGAGAGTTGTGAAATTCTGAGTTCCTATTTTAGTGTTATTCTTTTTTATTCTTTATTTGTTATGTCACATTTCTTTCTTTCTTGAGTTAGTTTAACTTTGATAAGTTCTTATGGTTGTAATTAAGTGTATCCTAGTCATTCCTTATTATATAAAAGAAGAGTTGCAACTTGATTATTGAGAAATTTGAGAATATAATTTTCTCAATCTTTCTTCATGATATCAGAGCCAAGTTAAACACCTGAGCACTCCTTCCTCTGTCGAAGTCTCTCCCTGCAGTCGTCAACCCTACAGGCCCTCCGCCAAATTGTCTCCTTGCAGGCGCCACTCTCCTTCCCTAATAGGTGATCTTTCTTCGCGCTTCATAGAAGGCATGATACATTCCTCTCCACTGGATTGCTTTACAGCAAGCAAGCGTGATTCCTTCTCACTCGGATTGCTTCGCATCAAGTCGCAATTCATTATCTCCGACAAGATCGATTCGCAGCACGAGTATTCCCTCGGTTGAAATTTCTCTCTCTAATGGAAATTATAACCAATCCTGACGCTCGCACAACTGAATTTTCTCTTTGATAGAAATCTAAGGGAGTTCAACTTTCTCTCTCTAGTGCAAATCATAAACCTATGATGAGAACTTCAACAACCTACAAAGCCTCCTCAACTCCTCCCTGCAACCGGAAATCCTTGTTGCAAACCTTCCCTAGTAACATCTTTTGTTGTCAAATCTACCTTGTAACCCGATTCTTCTCTACTGCAAGCCCTTCTCAGATTCTCCCTACAGACCCTCTATTATTCACCTTGTTATCGCGAACCTTTCTTCCAGCACTAGCAGTCACCGCAGCAACACCTTATTGTAGCGGACCTCTCTCTAGCCGCCAAAGCAGCTGCTGACTCCTCTTTTGTATCAGCCACTTGTTGGACATTTTCTCCTACTACAGTTGTGACCAACTTCCTCCCTATGACAAGTTACAACCCTAAGTACATATAGGGTTTATGATCAAGTACGGTACGAAGACATCGAGTTCCACTCCGGAGGTTAATCGTCCTTTGTGAGAACATTACAAAAAGTTTGATCACACAAAGGACATGTGTTGGAGACTGCATGAAAAACCCGTAGAATGGAATCCTAAGCAAGTGAGGAAAGATCAAGCCAATCAGGCCCATGTTGTTAGCTATTCTAAAGGGTTGGTCAGCCTTAGCCCTTTCACCAAGAAACAGTTGTAGATGTAGAAGAAACTTCTTTCGAGCACAACTGAGTTGTCTACCAACTTGATGATAAACATAGGGATCATGTTCTCCTCCTATCTCGCTGAAAATGAAAGATTTTGAAATTGGTTATTAAATTTAGGTTCTTCTGATCACACGATTGCAGACACTCATGCTCTCACAAACTCCAAATTTGTTAGGCTTGACAATGGATCTCAATCCAGGATTGTTGGGAGAGGAGAGGTGAAAGTCCTCAAAGATATTCAACAATCTTTTGTGTTATAAGTTCCCCAATTAGATTGCAATTTACTGTCAATCAACAATTTTACTCATGACTTGAACTCTGTTACTAAATTTCATTCTAACAGTTATGAATTTTGGGTGATGAATTCGAGGAATGTGATTGACAGTGTTGAATTGCATCAAGATTTATACCTACTCAAAAAACTTATTATCTCAACCACAAGTGTTTTCTACGTCATCTTCTTCCCATTATCTTGAGTTTGTTGTTTGATTCTGTTGACAGACAAATTCTATAATGGCATCATTGTCTGGGTCATTCGAATTTTTATTATATTGAAAAATTATACTCTCATCTCTTTATGAATATAAAAACAGAAGTTTATCATCGTGAATCCTGACAATTGGCAAAACATAATCGTCATGTCTATCATCTGTCTCAATATAAACCCTCACATCATTTCTCTATCATCCACAGTTACATTTAGAAATTATCAAAATTGAAAATCATTGATGGAGCAAGATGGTTTGTCTCATTTATTGATGAATACAAGATAACCAATTGGATATTCCTCATGAAGGAAAAAAACTAAAATTGCACAAATCTTGCAATCCTTCCATAATAAGATTCCACTTAGTTTCAATGCAAAATTCAAATCCATAAAATTGAAAATGCAAAGAAATACATCAACTCTATCCTTAGACCCTACCTAGCAAAGAATGATATCCATGTGAGTTCATGTGTTCAAACTCCACAATAAAATGGGACACCTGAGAGGAAAAAGTTGAGGTATCCAAGTCTATAATGCCTCTCATTTTTATTTTCTGTCTCAGTACAAACTCTCACAATGTCCCAAAAATTTTCTGGGGAGATGTCGTCCTCACCGTCACCTACCTCATTAATAGAATGACAATCAGTCACTGGATTCAAAACCTCTCCTGACATTGTGATGGAAAAATACCCTCATATCAAACCTTTCTCATTCAATCTTACTCTAAAAATATTAGATTATCTCTTTTGTTCACATTCGCCAACTAAACCGCACAAAGTTTGACCTAAAAATCCATCAGATGAATCTTCATTGGATGTGCTTCTAACAAAAAGGGATATAAGTCATATTCTCCCAACATCAAAAATATTATAAATCCATAGATGTTGGAGTTGCTTATCTTGAAAGCCAACCCTACTACCTCAAATTTGATATTAAGTGGAGAATCTAGATGAATATCAGACATGGGACACAACTCAGGACACTCACGCCAATTGAGAGTCGTTACAACCTATTCTACTTCCTTAAACTACTTGGGATACTCACATTGATCGTATTTCCTTCCTTCTAACATATTCTCCTTCCTTCTAACCATTTTGTCTCCCAAATTCCACGGGATGAGAACATCCAACTTAAGATTGACGACAATGAACTTCGTGTGTATACTAGAAGAAAAAAATCCACTGAGCAGGATAAAGACAATAAGCAACTACAAGATTGTTCACAACCAAATCTGAATTCACACATCTCTAAAGTTCTAAGAAAAGTGAAATCTAATGAAGAAGATGGGGAATTGCACAAATTATCCCTTTCAGGATCATATTGCCTATGAGAAGTTATCATCAACTTATAAAGTTTTTTTATCTACTCTGTATAATGCGCAGATACCCAAGTTTATTTACGAAGCACTTTAATACCCAAAATGATAAAAGTATTTACAATTGAAAAGGATATCCAAGCACTTGATCTAAATGGCACATGAATTTTTACAAAGCTTTCTCCAGATAAAAGGCTCATAGAGTGCAAATGAGTCTTCAATATTTAGTATAAAGCAGGTGAGAGGATTGAGAGATTCAAGACTAGGTTGGTGGCCAAAGGTTTCACTCATTCTTATGAGATAGAATATTAAGGGACATTTGATCCCATGGCCAAGTTAAACACTGGAATAGTTCTTTCCTTGGAAGTGAACAAAGAATGAGAACTACATCAACTTGATATCAAGACTGTGCTTCTGAATGGAGAGTTTGAGGAAGAAGTGTATATAGAAATCCCACCATACTAAAAAATCAATCAAATAAAAATCAGATTTGTAAACTAAGAAAGTCACTATGATCTTAAACAATTTCAAAGGCTTGGTTTGACAAGTTTATCAAAATTATGAAATCTAAAGGATAAATCCAATGCCAAATGGATCATAAATTGTTGATAAAACATACATGATGAGGTAAGATATCTATATTCATTGTTTATATAGATGATACGATCCTCATAAGTGATGATGAAAAGGAGATTGGAAAGAAAAATGAAGTTTTTGCCACTTAATTTGAAATTAAGGATCTAGGAGCGTTGAGACACTTTCTGGGAATGGAAGTGATCAAGTCCAAGATGAGTATTGTGACATTCCAAAGAAAGTACATCTTAGGCCTACCAAAAGAGAAAGGAATGATGAGATGCAAATCCACTGAGACTCTTATGAATATAATAAAAAATAACATTCAGAAGAACAAAAGACGCTAGTGAAAAAAAGTAGACACGCAACGATTGGTGGGTAAGCTTATCTATCTATCACACACAACATTTGATATCACTCACTCTGTCGACATCGAGAGTCAACATATGAATAGTTCAAACGAAGAAAAGTATTGAGATTTCTTAAGAAAATGAGTTGTTATTTAAGAAATCGGATAGCAAGGAGAAGATTTACATTGATGTTACTTAGGCAATAGAACTTGCAGAAAGAATGTCCACTTTCAGGCATTGTTCTTGTGTTAGGGAGAATCTCGCTACCTAGAGGAGCAAGAAGCAAGCGGTGGTTTCTAGAAGTTGTGCAGAATCTAAGTATCAACACTTGTTTTGGGAATTTGTGAAGGAATGTGTATCCAAATGTTACAAAGTGAGTTGGGATACTCAATAATCAATCCCAAGAAGATGTTCTGTGATAGTCAAGTCATCATTAGCATTTCAAAGAATCATGTACATCATAACAGGAACAAATACATTGAGATTGATTGATCCAGTGAAGAAAGGTAGAGAAAAAGTCGATGGAGGCATTATTCACCTAATTTAAATTCTGACACATCTTCAAGTCACTAGTGTTTTTACTAAATATATACCTCGAGGCAGATTCACTGATTTGAATATCAAACTGGGCCTTTACAACATCTATGACATAGCATGAGAGGGAGTGTGGACTTCTTAGTTTCCTATTTTAGTGTTATTCTCATTTATTCTTTTTTTATCGTCACATTTTTTTCCTTCTTTAGTTAATTTATCTTTGTAAGTTGTTATGGTTGTAATTAAGTGTGTCTTAGTCGTTCCTTATTATAAAAGGAGAAGAGTTGTGAATTTATTATTGAGAAATAAGATAATATGATTTTCTCCACATTTCTTCGCTATAGACAAAACTAACAAGACCGCACTCCATTCCCAAGTCCATTAAATCACCAAAAATTGGAAATCCACTTAAAAATGCGATATTCCTTGATCTTGTAGCTAAAAATTATAGTCACCTCTAGTCTCATATTGCATTGTACTGTGAATCGGAAGTCCCTAATAAAATTGCGAAAAAATTGTTGTTGTGATTTTTTAAAGAAGGCACAATCAAAGGAGAGAGAGAGAGAGAGAAGTTACTGTACACGACAAGAAAGAGGCAAAATTAAAATACATAGACATCTAAACAGTCATAATGTGAAAAAAATGCTTGAGAAACCATAAAATGATTGATTAATAGAACATTTGGAACCTCCAAAAAAAACTTAAAACCTTTCTAACCATTCTAATCCCTCATTATAGACATACTCGATAGCATGAAAAGGTTGTCCAAACATAAAGAAAATTTGCTAGAAATCGAGAATTTCATTTTGGGAACATGAATATAGGGGATTGTGCATAGCGGATGAACAAGAATTTAATAAAATTGGTGGTGAAATTAAAAATTAAAGGGTGGAGAGTATTTAAGTTTAGAATTTTCATCTCCTTAAAAAAATTATTAAAACTATTATAAATAATATTATTAAATTAAAATAAAGTTAACATTAAATTATTAAGTAATTAAATTAGTAAGTACAATTTTTAGTGTAATATGATATTAAAGAGTTTTGTAAAATTTTAGGAGTAGCGAACGCCTCCCCTCAACCTACCTCTGGTTCCGCCACTGACTATGCGCATGCTCTGCTACATATAAAAGATAGAGAGCAATGAGTGCTTCTAATTATTTGTTTGTCTTTCCATAGAAATGAATTACTAACCTTGCAAGTAGAAAAAAAAAGTAACTTCTTACACAAGCTTAGCCAACTTATTCTTACGATGTGCAATGTTGATAATATATGTCTAATATTTAAAGGATTGATAATCAAAAAATCGAAGGAAGGACAGCATTTATGCAAAACATAACAGCTCATATGCATGTACATATATGGGAAATGTTCCATCATTAAAAACTTAAAAGGAAAGAGATTCTCCATGAAAAAGAATGGTAGCTCAGATGTAAGTGTTTGTATACATAGATAAATGTTTTATCATAAGAAACTATAAGGAAAAATAATCCATGTGAAGGAAGGTAGCTAATTCGTGAGTATATGTGTGCATGGATGGATTCCGTCTCCTACTAAGAGAATAATCACTTCCTTTCACCGATTTAATTTTTAATATTATGACCTTTAAAAGCAAGAAGAAAATAGCCCGTTCTCTTTACTATCATTAAATTACTCGTGTACACAATTTCAAGCCATTTTTAAGATCATTTAACCATCAATTGGATTCATCAAAAGTTTAAAAATAGATGGATCTGATAATAGAAGAAGAATATTGCGGTTTCAAAGTGAGAGACCTACAGAAGGTATGGAATTAAGTGTACAATACTAAGGTTTTTTTCATCATATTTAGAGTGTGTGCTAGTTTTGATTGATGAAATACAAGGACAAAACAAGATTCCTAAAAGAGATTCTATATATTGTCCAATCACCCTTCTTATGTTTCATGTTTCTTGAATGATTAGATTATTATCATAAAAGTTTCGCTTTATACATGTGTATGTCAAGAAATAGATGTTGGTATTATTTTATAATGATATGAGCATTTCTCCTTATACATATCATTCATACATCTTTGAGCTACGTTAAATTTGAATAAAAGGTGAAATATATGCGCGGACAAATTACAAGCGGGAAATCCTAGAACATTCCAAGGACTTAATATGATGAATCATAAAACTGGAACAAAAGGGCCATTATCTAGTTCACATTCTTGTACGCAAACAGTTCACGTGCCAATTGCTGCCTTACACTCCTACTGCTCCTTCCATAGTAAAGCATTGTGCCTAAAGTAGTGGGCCTGCCAATGAAATCTTCATATCATTTGTTTCTCCACAAAATAAACAATAAAGTACATTTCATTTACTATACATTCTTAAGGCTCATTTGGGGCTGCTTTCTCGTAGCTTTTCTCTCAGCAGCTATCACTTTCTTTCTATTTTTCAATTTTTTGTAGTGATAAGTAGCTTTTTACAAAATAAAAAGCTGGTGAGTGATAGCCAAAAGAAAATTGTGATCAAAATTTTTCAAAAAAAAAAATCTAAATCTAAAAGATCCATAGCAGCCGATAGCAACTTTAAGAAACATACTTTTTCCCCATAAATTCTTTGTAACTACTTTTAAACCTGCAGATGACCAAAAACAACCCTTAATTGTATGGTTTTTTTAATTATTTGTTTGACTAAACAGCCCAAATAGTTGTGGGTACAACACTCAAAATAATTTCCCAAATGAAGCAAATAAATTTTGAATTGATTTCACATGTTTGATAGATGGTTGAGCATTGCAGCAAAGAACTTCATGCCAAAATAAAAATTGATCAGGTGAAAGAGTTTCAGGTGAAAGAATCACCGCATCCTCAAATCAGCAGAAATTCATCCCTGAAAGTTCCCTAAAATTGTAACATAAACTAGAGAGTAACATCAACTTTAGTCAATATCTAGCCAAATCCAGAACCAATCTCAGCAATACACTGAAATTTCAGACGAAATCATAAAACCAAACTTCAAACACTTTCCTTGCGAAATCAAAACTCCAATCAAATATAATCCCAGAGAAACAGAGACCTCATTAATCAAGAATAGCTCTCGTGCATGAATCCAAAGAATGAATAAATTTCCGGGACTTTCATCCCCCTAAATTTAACCCAAAGAGAAAATAGACCCATAAATCAAGCCTCGAAGTCCCATGTATTCTTATTCCGTCAAGTACTACCTGGGCAAGGCCCGTAGAAGATCTGAAGGCGTGACAGTAGAAATCTACTTAAAAAACGATAGAGAACACGAGAAACGGAGAAAGAGAGAGAGCTTACAATCCCGGAAAACGATGTTGTCGCCTCGTTGAGAGAGAACGAAGAACTGCGAGATCATGACTGAGATCAGAGAGCGATCTGAGAATCCAATCTCCGGAGGATTCTCTCGTTGGATGCCTCTCGCAGATCTGATATTTCTCTAATCAAGTGATTCGCAGCTGAAAATCAGGCGGTGGGTCAGTCGGTGCCATTCCCAACCCAGCTGCGGTTCTTCCCTGAATCAAATTAGGGACGCACGGTGAGTAAATTTACACTGCAACCACCAAAAGTTTGATATTTACACTTAAAATGTATTGGTTTCAAAAATTCATACAAGAAAATATACATTTTATTTTAATGAGAAAAACGAATATAATATTTTTTATGCGACGCTAATTAATTTAGTTAGCGTACCATGATATGTATTAAATGTGCATGATATTTTTATGTTATTTTTTTTATATTGTTTATATCGTTTTGCATACTTTTCTATAATATTTATAATTGTATTTGGAGTATATAGGAGATCAGGCTTAAGAAGCAAAGGAGATAAAACAAACTCATAACAGGCTGAATCGGCGCCTTTGCAACAGTCTGGACATCCGAAAACTTGTGGATCGGCACCTCCAAGCCAGTCTTGGGCACTTAGATGCCCATAACCAGAGCCACTGGTGTTAGGTGCTAGTTCTAGCGCTCATGTACTCGAAGGCAGGGAAACAGATGCTCATGCATCATTATGCAGTCACAGGCGCCCATATGCGCAGGATTGCGGTTCAGACACCTCAATTTGCATTGTTTTGCATATGAGGAGTAATTTTGGCCTAATACGGAGCAGTTGGGGCTTTTTAGAAGAGAGAGGAAGCCACGACAAGGGTGTTGCCAGAGAATACTAGAGAGCAATCGGAGCACCTGAAATGAGGGGTCTATTGGAGTGTTGTAAGTATGAGAGAGTGTTATTCTGGGTGAGGTAGAGTGTTAGTGATTGTGATTGTGATTGAGATTAAGAGTATTATGTATTGAGACAGGAAATCACTGTGAATTTGTTATAAACTCTTATAATTCAATGGAGCATATTGGTGAAATCATTATGACTTGTATTTTCTTTGGTTTTGAAATGAATTCTTCGTTGTGTTTCTTTCAAATGAGCAGTAATTAAAATTCTCACTCTCTTGAGTTGGTAACCTATGCATTTTAGAACTATCCTTATAATGTGATTGATTTGTTAACTGTATAATATTGATATATTAACATTTTCCTTATAATTCACTCATAAATTGATAACTTAAATAAGTTGTTTTTTTTCCTTTGTATATTTTATTTTTCAAGGAGTTGTTAGTTTGTCCATCGTTATATACTTCTCTTTTCTGAATAAGTTTTTCTTCTGGATCATGTGAATGATCACGAGAAGAGATAAATCAAAAAATCAAGACATACAACAAAGGCAAACAACCATGAGAAAGAATGTGGAGGATTTTCGTGCTACAAACATCTCTAGAATATGTCAAGCATATATGTCGGAACAAAATCAAACTGAAATAACGTGTGTCAAATATCTACAAATGAATGCCTACAAAAGCTACCCACAGTCAGGGATTCAGGTGTATTTTCTTGTTTTGGGGTCTAGAGTGCTCCCAAAGGGTTGCATCCCACATGGTTAATTACATCTTAGGGGTTGCCAAGAATAATCTTGATCCAGGCAGGTTTTCTTACATTTAAATTGACAACTAGCACAAAACTATCAAAGGAAAGTTATTTTGTAGGGGAATACTCTGATGTTTTCAAAGCTCCCGTTAAGCCTACGAGGTAGAGATTGAGTCTTTTACAGTCCCACATAGGTAACGATTGATCAGCATACGGAGCCTGGGAAATAACTGAATCATCCATATAGAGAATCTCAATACATTAAAGCACGTCCAGGTTGTAAAGACAGAAGACAAATAGTCATATCTCAAATGAGTGGGAAGTTTTTTGATAATGAGAACATCAAGATAATATAAATGACATCAAGAGGAGCGAGAGGGCTTAAAGTGAGTAGTTAAAGAAAAGGAGGAGTAATCCTTAACATATAGAGGTAGTCGGATCAGGGCACCACAGACCCGTCATCTAAAACCACTATGACTCGAAGTCTACCCGAACATGAAGGCAGTCGACCCAACACATTCATAAATCTCGATTCATCAATCTGTGAATTGCATCATCCGCAGAGACCTCGGTAGCACAAAGGTCAAATGAATGAAATTCTATCCTATGACCACCAGGTTGAGCTCCAAGAAATAGGACTTATACTCGCTGAAGTAGCGAAGATGCCGTTGAAAAAGAAAAGAAAGGGAGGTTCAGCTACAAAGTTGGAAACACTCCCAACAAAGAACATACACCCCGTCTGGGTCGAGGAAGCCACTAACAATGTGCACTAAACAACCACTTATGTTGGTTCAGTCGGGTTATAGAAGCACTAGAACTTCTCCTTATGGCATAAAAATGATGCAGTTATATATCCCTGAACGTTGAGGCCCTATTATAATGACTTGGTTTATGCCCATGATATGCAATCCAGTTTAAACCGCCCCAAAGGCTATGCAGAAAAAGAAAGACAATTTTTTTTTAAATAGTGACAATTTTAATACTAAAATTTAGATTATTTTAATATTTTTTTATTATGATTTTTGCAAAAATTTTAAATTTTTAGGTCCTTATAAAGCTTAAATTATATTTCACAACATTCTCAAACAAATAGATTATATTTCGCAACATTCCCAGATAAACATATTATATTTTGCAACATTCCCGGCCTAAATAGCACATGTAAGCAAATGATTAGTTGACATCATCACATGCTCCCCCTTTCAACAGTACATGTGTGTGTTCACACACACACACACATGGCTCCATGTAGAAAAATATCCTAATATACTACCATGAATATCAAGCATGCAAGCATACCAAAAAGCAAAAAAAATGATGCTTGGCTAGCACAAGCACATCAACAAAGAACAATAATCAGAGGTAAGGCTGTAAACGAGCCGAGCCTGAGCGAGCTCAGGCTGGGCTCGTGTTCGGCTCGTTCGAAATAGGCTCGTGTTCGAAATAGCGTTCGAAATAGCTCGTGATCAGCGTGTTCGTGTTCGGCTCGAATTACATTTTTCTGTTCGTGTTCGGCTCGAAATTGGCTCGTTATAATATAAAATTATTATAATAATTTATTTTTTTAAAAAAAAAAAGAGTAATAATAAATCATAATTTTTTTTAAAATTTTTTTTGTACTAACTACTTTATTCCAAACATATTTGAAGGATAAATTTCTAGAAAAAAAATTACAAACTAAATTTTACAAAAAGAATATTAATATTTTTTTACCCAATTTTACAAAATACAAACTTCATTACAAATTTTACAATTTACAAATTAAACAAAAAGATGAAAATTTACAAAATACAAACTTTTACAAAAACTTCAATATAAATTTACAAAACTTTACAAAAAGAATATTAATTCCTTTTTTACAAAATTTTACAAAATAAAATCTTATTTACTAATTTTACAAATTTCCAAAAACATTATCAATGTTTCTTCACATTTTCTTTCTTCACATTTTCCTCCAGTCGACAGTCTCTTCAAATTGGGATCCATCTTGATTGCAGGTTTGCCAATTTTCTTTGAAGAGCTCATGGTGGTACACACCTTTTGTTGCTTCTTGTTTCTGGTAAGCTGTTCTTCAAGCTTCACGTTCTAAAAGACATCAAGATTGCTCCACGTGATCAATGAAAAAAAATATTTGCTGATTCACATAAAATCCAAGGGATCAATGATTGCTCCAAATAATGAGTCCTGTAATTATAGAATAATGACTCCAAAAGACCAATGCATTAGAAGAGATGAATAAAAACTGATTAGTCAAAATAATGAGTCATTTAATTATAGACTAAGGATCAAATGCACTTACAAATCTTTTCATTCTCATCAGATAAAAACTGGTCACAACTGTCTTCTCCAAAGACTTTTATAATTACAGCAGTAATGGGCCACCGAAAGTTACAGCAGTAATGGGGCACCAAAATCTTTTCATAATTTTACTGCAGTAAACTGGTGACAAGACTCACAACTGCCTTCTCCAAAGTTACAGCCGTAACTTCATAAAAATTCCGAAGTTACAGTAACTTAATAAACATTCCAAATAAACAACAGTAACTTGAATGAAACATTCCAAAGTTACAGTAACTTAATAAACAAACAGCAGTAACTTTCCAAAGTTAAACAACAATGAAACATTCCTCTGACATCAACATCCTCATTATTATGCATAAATTTATATTCCTCAGCAGTAACTTTTATCAGCAGTAACTTTCCAAAGTTTCCAAAGTTATGCCGCGTAATTTTATATTCTTATCTTAAAATGGTTGCAAACTTGTGTTGCCTTCCAAAATTAAAAGTAAGAATAATCATTTACGGCAGCTTTTCATATTCTTCTCCTAAAATGGTTGCAAACATGAGTTGCCTTCCAAAATTAAGAGTAAGAATAATCATCTTCTGCATCTTTTCATATTCTTATCCTAAAATGGCTGCACCGAAAAGAAATGACTGCTTACATAATCATCTAATAGGGCACCGAAAAGAAGTAAAGAACCACTTCCATAATGCATTATGCCACATAATGATTCACCACAATATGACAAACTAATGCCACATAAAGTAGTCATTTCTCAACTTATGTCACATCACAACACAATAGTCGAGCATCAAGTAGCCATTTCTAAACTTTTGCACAGCAAGAGTCATAACAGCAAGTCACAAGCGCTTTCAAATCTTCCCCAAACCAACAAAATTGTAATTTTGAACAATTCTTATATAGCTACATATTTAACACCTACAGTTTGAAATTTACATTTGTAACCTTTTGATATTCATAATCAATATATGCAGAGACACATTTTTGCCTCTGAGAAATAAGTAAGGGTAGTATATATGGGAAAACTAAAGCTCATGTTTGAGATATAAGAATACATGAGAGTCAAATGATCTATGCGTGTATAAACAAATATCCAAGTTTAGGTGTAAAGTATAAGAATACGCTGCATATCTAATGACAACTTTGAAACCATATTGAACCAAATGTAGATTTTCCCAACATATTTTCAACACAATATCACATATTTTCCTTTCAATTCTGCGGACACAAATATACTATTTTTTTGCAAATTTACACACATACCAGTCATTTGTTATGTATCACATGTCTAGAACAACCATTT